TCTCTTCTCGGGTTTCTCACCGGCCCCTTTTCTCTCACACAAATCCTCCTTTGCTACAAATCCATCCGCGCGCCGGGTTTACTTTCAAATTTGGGCATACGTTTTTTTTCGAACTCGACTTGATCTTTAATCGTCCATTTTTTATGCCAATGTATAATCATAAATGTCGATGATTCACCGCGATTTATATTTTATATGCCGGAAAAAAAGAATACGAGAGAGAGAATATATAATTTCATATATCTCCATTATATTTCCAACTTGTAAAATTAAATGTTCAAGTTTATGAGTTACCCCTATCACGTCACGTATCTCTCAAATTTTATGTGGGCATTTTATGTAATTTAACGTATATATAAATTACACACATTATTTTATAATAAAAAATTTTGGGGGGAAAAAAATTAAAATTACATTTCTCAGATATATTTTTATCTCCCGTATATGTTCCTATTTTCTCATCTCCATACATTATTAAATGGATATTTAATGTCATATACGTATTATTTTATTATATGTATATTAAATTATACAAATTAACATTTATCTCTCGCGACGTATTAGGAAAAAGATACGAGAGAGCAATTAACTCTCGAGCACATTCAGAGAAAACATGCCGAGAATGTTTGGCACCCTGTTAGAAAATCGCTTGATTGCAAAATTAATCGTAACTTGGTTGGTTGATGTCTCAGAATAGATCGCCCGAGAAGATCGTTCCCGCGACAACATCACAGCCGCCGATCCTCCCTTATGGAATAAGCAAGCGAAATAAAATGAGGAATATAGAGACGGCGGAGCGAGAGGAAGCTACTCGGCGCTGTATCAATTCATTAGCGCATTACGGTTAAAATAAAAGTATCCGCGTATCTGCGGCATGCGGCGTATCTCTTATGAAGAGGACGAGTGGTGGCCGACCGGTTTCTTCTGCGACTCCTCCCCCGCTTTTTCCCCCTTCCTCCTTCGGTTCCTTCAACGAATCGACCTTCACCGTGATTTGCTGGCTGGCGACCGCCATCCGGCGACTCCGAGTCGTCATTATGCACCGCGAATGGCGAAAAAAAAAGATGAGTAGGAAAAGACGACGCGCGAATCCAACCGAGCAAGGACGGAAAACGAAGGGCGGGTGGGAATTGGTCGGATTCAACGGAGGGTCCGCAGGCCAGCGGCGTCCTTGAGGGAGATGATATCTCGCGTAACCGTCTCCCGGCTGATAAGCGAAATCGTGCGCTCGTAATGTAGTGTACAGACTCGCCGGTTTATCTAGTTTATCCGCCGACCGAGTCTATTCTTTGCGGCTAACATACGCGGGGGTGAGTTTGATACTGATGCGGTACATTCGATGCGGTATTGTATGGCACCGAATTAGCGAGCGCGCACTCCGGACACACACTCTCTCTCTCTCTCTCTTCCCTCGCTATATTAAGGATCCCTCTCTTTGGCGTAAATTTCGAATACCATCTCCCGAGAAGGCGAGGAGATAAGCCGCGCGCGGAGAGAACGCGCGGACGGATACCGGTATTTCTAATTAATGCAGAGGTATCTGTCGAAAGAAAGCGAAAAGTGGTTTCACGTTTAACGATCGCGCATCGATAGCGAGAATCCGCGCTATTAGTTAGACATTTAACGACCGAACCAGTCAGACTAATTATAATAAGAATATACCACGGTGACAAATCGTTTCAAATAGGTACTTACCCTTCTTGGTGCAGTGATGTGACGAATATTTGGTTCCTCGCGTCCCTTATTTGCATCCATTATTTTATATGCGCACGTTACTCGGACGAAGAAAAATTAATCGAGACGGGTCCGTAACGAGATGACGCTGGTTTTCTTGAAATATATGTAAAACTTTTAGCAATCTCAGACGAGGTCGGTTGTAAATTATTTGGATCGCCTCTCGACATAATCGGTCCTTCGATTTCTCTCTCGCGAAAAAGCTTTATCTGCAGTTTAATCGCATGACTTTTATATGTATTTCATAAAGCGTTGAATACATTTTCGAAATAATGATCGTCTAATGATAAAGCGACAGTATTTCTTTAGATAAAATTTACAGGAAATGAAATCACTACTCACCTCCAACAAAAATGTATGTGATATCGTTTGTGGAAAATATCACAATTTATTTGATATTTCGAGTTATCAAAAAACTATTATTATTCAATCTTTGATTTCACGAACGATAGAGGAAAGTAGTAACTTGTGCGGGAAGCAGGCAGAGATAAACTGAAAAGAGCACAGGTTCTTAGTTTATAACATATATATTTATTTGAGCTTTTAATTGCATTTTAAAATACAACCGAAATAATTAAATAATGACAAATCTGGTAAAATGGTTTCAAGAGTCGCGTATACATGATGCATATCTTTGTGGTTGCGTGTTTGTAAGTAGGTAGGTACGTTTCGAGCGTATCATTCGCACGGCTGGCTGTTCTTTTTCTCGAGTGTCGCTGCGACAAAATGAGTGTGCTTGTGTGCGTGTGTGTCCGTGTATGCGTGTATGTGTGTGTGTGTTTGCGCGGGTACGTATGTATTCGTGTTAGTCGCAGCCACGTAATGGTATCTCGTCTTACGTTCATCACACTCTCAGCAGTCGTATATAATTACAATAATAATATTAATATTATTATTTATGTCGATAAATACTTTTTTTAAAGTCCGCGATGGAAGAATTAGAGTTTACAAGAAATACGTATACAAGTATGTTCCGTTCTTTTTCCGGCCTTCGTTGTTGAGGGCCGCACGCAGCTGCTCTATCTTTCCCGGTCTGTTCCTACTATCTCAATCTCTCGGAAGCATTCTTTCCTTTCTTCAAACTGTCATTTTATTTTTTTTCATCGCTCTTTCTCTCTCTCTCTCTCTCTCTCTCTCTCTCACGCACATTTTCTCTCTTATTCTCACGTTTCATCCAGGTAACATTCATATTCTTTCATTTGATTCCACTTGCGCCCTATACTCCGCATTTATTACGCCACACGCATATATATCACTGTAATATAATAATTATAATTATAATCAATATACACAGTATTCGCGATAATTCGAGTGATAATAATGACAATATTTTACACGTAAAATGACACGTTGGCTCGTTCTCGTCGCAATAAATATTATTTGAACAAAGAAAATTTACAATGGTCTACACGTACGTTATACGTCGAGAAAATTTGCGTTCTTCGACGACGCATCATTCTCTCTCACACGCATTCTGCTCTTTCTCTCATCTTTCTCTCTATCATCTCTCTCACTCTCTTTCTCTCTCTCTCTCTCTCATTCTCTCTTTCACACTCTGCTCTTTCACGCATGCATTTATTCTCGCGCGTACTTATTCAATTAACTTATTCGAGTCTCGCTATTGCACCGCATCTCTGCACCCTTCGGCTCTTGTCGCTCTTACACTCGTTCCAAGGTATATTCCCATACCTTCTATTCGCAGCAGTCGTATCGCTCTCCGAGGCGGTTCTCTTCGTCCGTCCCCGCGAGCAAAACTCACTTCGTTTTTTTTTTCGTAGTAATAAGTATCAACAAAGAGATTCCTATACAGGGTCGAGAACCCTTGCCTAACCTATGCTCTACTAAACTACGGCCTTACAATCTAGAGGTATACATGCTGACGATCTTACGACAGGTGATAGATAAGCTTTCTTTCCTTCTCGCCGTCTCTTTCTCTCTCCATCTCTCTTTCTTTCTCTTTCTCTAATTTAACCGATTTTTTGCAGTTTTCTTTGTCTCACGCAATCTTCCTCATCTCACGTCGTAAACGTCCTTAAGTATTTATAAAATCACAAACTTGGCCGCGTGCCGAGCCCCGTGACTCAGCAGTGCCGCGAGATATGGTGGCATCACAATTTAATTAACGCTCGTTCAACACCCACATCATCGTCACACCCTCTCACGTTTCTTGGGCACAAAAGAAAGTAAGAGTCACTGGTACACTTTGTTAATTTTCTCATACTGATGGAAGGAGAGTGAATACGAAAAAAAAAAAAAAAAAAAAAAAAACGGAAGGTGAAATGCGCTAAGGAAAAGTGTCAACGAAATGTCAATTGTACAAAGTTGCGCGCGCGTACTTGGACTCTTATTCCCATATATTCGCGATCGCGATCGAGGAAAAATTCTAAAGCGAAAAATCCTCTCGCGAGGCTTTTTTCACGTTGCACGCAATCTATAGCGAAAAGAAAAATCATTCGAAATGATTACGCGCGCGTCTACTCTAAAACATAATCCTCTCGTAACGACTAAAAATAAACGGGGAAAGAGAAGAGAGGGATCAGTATAAAAGAAATAATATAAGAGAGATGCATATAAAATGGAATTTGAAACCTCTCTCTCCAATGTAGAGACGTATATAGTTTAGTTTTTCAAAGGGCCTTACGCGACGCACGCTAATCGTGTCGTCAACAACCCAGGAATGATAAGTGCATCCTCCATGAAACAAACTAAAACGATCGCCAAAAACGGAAACGGAGTCGCGTTGCGTCATATTGCGTTATGTGTTTGCACATTTTGTGACCGAACGAAATTTCTTGCTATAATATCGTCGTAACGGCAAAGTTTTTCTTTTTCGACGGAGATATCCACATTTAGGCTAAAAGAGCGCGGTGACGAGGCTTAACTTTTAAGAAGAGAAAGAAACTCTCTCAGATTCCGAAACTATGCCTTCCTTCTCTGTGTGTATGCAAAATAAAAATACAATTAAAAATCATATTTTCAATGCAATAATTTTTTCCTCAATTTTTTGTTTCTAGATATATTAAAAAGAATCTAATTAATATTATAATTTCACAAAACAATTCAAGAAAAAAATCTATAGGGGAAGCAAGAATCAAGCAAGTTTTGTGTAAGAGATTTCCAACATAAAGTGTTAATACTTGTGTAATGATAATTATTTGTCACTACACAAGTATAACGTTTAATGTATAATAGCATCTATAATTTATATGTTTCATCAAGCAGATGAATGTAAAATTATAAAAAAGTAAGAATAGTTGAAATTAATATAATTAAATTATATAATTTCAACTTTTAACGCTACAAATTCGCGAAAAAAGATTTTGCGCCATTTGTCACCTTCCACAAATAGAAATTTTATTTGTCACAAACAGAAATTATTTTTGCGTGCTTGGGGCAATCGAAATCTAAAATCTGTGAATTTATATTGGTTTCTGATTCTTGATTTTTTTAAATACGAATACACATTTTGTGTCATACGATCACAAGAAATATTGGCGATGAAAATATAAATATTAGGATACGATTAATCTCATATTACACGGAGAGAATGCGATTGATCTCAAATCCAAACGTAATAATCGGAAACGATCTTCTATACGTTCACAATCTCTCTCGTACGATTTCTTTTCCACTTACCGGTATAGCCACGACACAGCCTCTTTAAGCATAAACCCGAGGACGTCGGATGCGCGACAACGTCGTTCGGCGCGGCGGTGTTCGCGGGGAAAAAGAGGGGGGAAGGGAGTAGGGGATGAAAATTTTCAACCATCGCTAGTTTTACAGTCGTTACAATATAGATACACTTATGTACAAGTGGCACCGCTACTTACGGGGCTCGGACTATACGTACTTACTGGACAATTGCTTTGCCAGCTCCGTATACTTGAGAAATTTGGAGTGCGGGCTTTCCTCGAGGGGAGAGGCCGCTGACTGCGACGGGCTACCGTTCGCTTGCGGAAGCGGCGGCGACTTGTTGCGTTGCGACGTCGGCGGCGACGAGGAGTTGCGACTCGGCCCACCGGAAGTGCCCTGGGAGACTGCAGCGGCGGCCGCAGCCGCCGCGGCCGACCTGCCGATGGTCAATGGATCCGGGATGACGCCGTCCTTGACAAAGTGCATCTTGGAGAGGTGATGCCTGTACGCGCCCTTCGAGATAAAGGGTGTATCGCAGAATGCGCATTTCATTATCGAATCTGCGGTAACCACCGCATCGTTGCAGGCCCAGCTGAATGCCAAAATGGCACCCGGCGTTGGTCCGGGACCCGGACCGGATACTCCTCCCACCGTGCTACCGCTGCCTGGACCGATGGTAGCTGTGGAACTACCCCCGGATCTCGAAGCGCCGCTGGCGCTCGGACCTCGCGTTTCCGTCTTGTCGCACAATTTCTGTAACGCTGCGAGCGGATGGCTGCTCGTTTTGCGTCCCTGCGAGTCGACGTTGCTTCCACCGCCTCCGCCGCCCCCGCCACCGGACAGGCTGTCGAACATGGAGGAAAGAGCTCCAAGACTACTCGACGTTTTAGTGTCGGGCGTACCCCGCGGAGTGACCGATCGATCGCTGCTGGTAGGACTACTCGTGCTGTTTCTACAGGGACTACGCGCGATCTGTTCCACCTGGTTGGTCGGCCTTGGCGTAGGTGGATTCATACGAGGTGACAGAACCTCTCGTCCGTCCTCCGGCGTTTCGTGGCTACTTCGTCGGTGGTTGTAGGAACTCTGATCCTCCTCGTCTCTGCAGTCGTCCACTATCTCCTTCTTCACAAACACTTCCCTCGTCGATTGAGATTGTTGTTGCTCCTCTTCGTTCGCGCCTCGCTCCTCTGTCTCTTCATCCCTCGGCTCTTTCTTCACCACCACGGTAGACGATTCCTCGTCTCCGGATTCTTCTGTAATTTGATGATGGCGACTAGGTAACGGCGCAGTCTGTTTCTCTGGAGTGACACGATGATGATGAGAAGACAGAGAACTCGAGTGCCTTTCGTGACTCGAGGCGGACAGATCCATGCGTCTTTCTGGTGTCATGGTATCCGTTCTGCCGCTTCCTCGCTCTGATATTGAACTGGACTCGCTACCGCTTCGTTCCCTTCTCGCTGCGGCGTTCGCGTTGTAATGCTGTTGCTGATGCTGCTGTTGATAAGTTCGAAGCAGATTCATCGTTTGCGGATCCACCAGAGGTTTCGTGTAATCCACGCTCTCGTCGATGCCTAAGCGCTTAAGAATGCTCGTACCTATAGGTGCGCCAGGTTGAGCGTGATGCATACCGGGTGTGCCGTGTCTCACGCGAGAATCGAAACTCTTCTCGATGAGCTTCTCTATCGCGTTCAAAACCGATGGCGAAGTACCCATTGGAGCGGTGCTCTCGTTGGCGTTCGGTGTAGGAGTATCTTTTCCAGGCGTGGTCGCGTCGCTGGCAGAGGATGGAGATCGATGATGCCTCGATGATATCGAAGACGTTTCCTCGTTGACGCTCTTACGTCCGCTCTCGGTTGGCGGTAACGTTGCAGGTAAATGATTTGACATGAGCGCGTTCTTCAAAAAGTTTCGCTGATTGACGCCCACCGTGCCTCCGCCGATGCATTGACGTATATGCTCCACAAAGAGCGGAGTTTCGATCTTCTCCCCGCATTTCTCGCACGTAATTCTACTAGCTTGCTTGCCAAGGCCATGAGTCAGACTGGCGGCAGCATCGCCGTTCTTAAATTCATTTTGCGCGCGTTCCAGTTCCAGCAGCTTCCTCACGGGCAGTGACTTTTTTCGTTTCTCGCGCGTTTGCCGCCGACGTCCCCCGCTCTCGGTAATCGAGCGCATTATGTGTTCCTTGTAATGCGAATTCTTCACCATGTGATTACTCAACTCCTTCAGAGAGGTGAACGCTTGATCGCAAACCTTGCAAGTCAGCACAGCGCTAACATGACTGCTCGTCGCGCCAGCGCCGGGACCACCGTTGTTTCCGCCGTGAGGCCCGGATCCTCCACCCGGTTGTACTCCCGCGTTGCTTCCTCCACCGGCACTCGCGCCACCTCCAGCAGCGCCAGTAGCGTTACCGCTCTTGCTCTCGTCGGACGATTTCCAGGATATTATTTGCTCTTGAGAAATAATATTTGTATAATGCTGCGTCTGTTGCATATGCGAAGTCATTTCGGCTAGCGAGCGGAAGCTCTGCCCGCACCACATGCATTTGAGTATCTGCCGCGTTTGCTCGGCACCCTTGCCTAACCAGACGTCCTGACCTCGCACGAGCTTCCGCGGCAGTGGCATCGTTTCTTTGATCAGAAGATTCAAATCGGATGGAGTTTGCTTGCTGCTAGGTGTAGCCGAGCTATTGCTACCAGTGTTACTGCTGGAAGTTTGCGGTTGATGTGATTGCTGAGGCGGCGGGATGGTTGGCATGCTCGTTTGCTGCGAGTGAATTCCCGGACCCGGAGGTGGTACCGGCATATTGACGCCGCAATGCTTCGCTTCCTTCATGTGCGTCGTCATCGCTGCGAGAGTTGGGAAACTCTGCTTGCACCATACGCATTTTAGAACGTCCTTGGCTTGATCGGCTCCTTTGTTCAACCAATGAGACTGCCAGGCGCTGTGACGACTGCTGGACGTTGTGGCCGGCGCACTGGCACCCGTTACGGCAGCACCGCCTCCGGAAGATGATCTGAAGAGGTCCTCACCGCCGAGTTTACTCAACTCGCTCATTTTTTCGAGCGCCTTTGTAGCTTCGCTAGGCTGATACGGCTTTTCCAGCGCTGTTGGTGGTTTCATCTTCCCGTTCCAAAGCTGATGATGATCCACTACGCTGCTAGTGCTCTTCGGTGAAAGCTGCTGCTGACTAGTAACTGCTGCTACCGCTGCAGCAAAGTACGGGAAATGTGAAGCCACCACTGGAGATGTCCAGGGGGACACTACGGGTGGTCGGCCATAGCCGGATGGTGCGATCCCCGGCGCTGTTTCTTGATGGCTCGTGGAACTCGTCGAAGAAGTCAATCTCGATGACTTGCGCGGTGGTGGAGGTGATGGATTTTCCGTCTCGGGTCGTTTCCTACTGGGTACTGAAAGATCCAACGGACCATTGTTCGTCTCCGTCGAGGAAGACGGCGTAGGCGGTTTGCTGAGATTTAATATCTGTTCTTCCTCATCCTCCTCGGTCGAGGACGCTTTCCTTGTGCTAAAGTCCAGCACAGCCGGCAAGGGTGTCGCTGACGGCGAGATGTCCCCGACGCTGGTAGGCGATACCAAGAGACCAGGGGTAGCAGCTGGTGGCGAACACGACGAGGAAACCAGAGGTGACACCGAGCCGCGCGATAAAGGCGAGTGGCCGAGAAGGAGACGCTGATGAGTCTGTTGCAGATACGCCGCCATGACCGCTGCAGAATGGGGTGGTAGCAGGGGGTGAGTTCCAAGGGGTAGAGGCACGATACTATTTGGACTGACTGGGCTCGCGCTGCTCCTGGTAGCAGGTGGTGGGGGACTTCCGGTCGCTGGACCGGACGATTCCCGAGAATCTCTCGAGGGACAGCGCGGACTCATTGGCTCCCTGAAATTGCAAATGATACCGAGTGCTATAATATTCAAGTACGGACGCGCGTCTCTTCTTCGGGATCTATCTGCGGGATTCCAAGAGATTATGCGAGGCTAAAACGAATCTTATTAGAGTTTTGCGAAACGTTCGACAAAATTCGCAATCGAACAGCGGTTATTAATCATGATAATCGTACGATAATTTTCTTGTAACTGATCCACTCGCATCGCCATAGCGTAGATAACGCTGTTAATATTTCATAACCGTTCGCTATGGGAATTACTACGCAAACAGCCTTTGCCGTACGTATGATGAAAACGACAGATATACTCGGAATCTCATCGATAAAAGTAAGCGGAAAAAAGGCTCGCGTGATAGATAAAGCCTAGAGACGTTAGCGTGTTGCACACGATGGTAACAGCGATGGATAATTCACGCTTGAGAACGTCTGTCGTTGCTAATGTGTATACGCACAACACATAAATGTATGCGCGACAGACATAAACAAGATACGACAGACTATTACCGCGCGTTATCGACATCAAAAACGAAAACACACTTTGCAGTAAATTATTTGTTGGCTTTATGTTAAACAAAAAAAAGAAAAGAAAAAAAGAAAAATATGCGCGCGCATTCACATCAGCCGTTTCTTGGCCCGCGAGACTAATGCTCACGAGGTAGCGGATCTCCGTCGTGTGACAAATTACGATTAATTATACGCTCCGACGACGATAAACGTTAGTCGCGACAAAAAGCGCGAGGGTCTAGTCGAGAAGCCGTGTGCGTAGAAGCGATCGATACCTGTCGCAACGTCATCAACGCGCGCGAGGTACGACTACTACTATCGAAAGGGAGCACGTGGCGATTAGGGCCAACGCAGAACGACGAGGCTCTATTGTAATGGTAAGCCTTCCTCGGCGCGGAGTGGCGTGGCGCGGCGCGACGTTCCAGGCCTGTCGACGGCTCGCTCGTAACTGACTGTTCCTGACTGAATGCCGAATGCGTACCGCGAGATGAAAGGGGACCACTGCCACGCATGCAGGGGAAGTTTTTGGGGGCTGGCGGGACAGGGCGGCACAACGCGCGGGTGTAGGGAGGCGGGAGCGCCACCGCCGCCCCTGGTTAGGAGGTAGCGCTGCTAGTGGGGTCGTCGGTGTGGGAAGATGTGTAACACGTGCCTATCTCTATTAGCCGTGTGACGTTATGCGCGGCACAGCTACCGATATCAACTCTGACACCGACTTATTTATCCCTATCCGGGCCTTGCTCCGCTTCCAACCCTGCCGCCGACGTTGATGCTTACCTCGTGCATACACGCGTTTACGGGAGAGACCCGTGACGATTTGTTGCTCTTAAAACAAGACGTGTACACATGAGGGACGCCCAACAACGGCGAACATCAAAGCCCGCGACGTCGCGTCGCCGCGGCTCGCGATCGTTTTATAAACGCTTTATTATAAGGAGCTTCCTCCCTGCTCCGATAAAAGTACCGGTTAGTGAGCAAACAACGTTAATCAAAATTTAGATACACGCCTCGTGACATTATGCTCGCTATTACGCGTCGCTTTTACGACTCGCACACGTGATTTGTACCGAGAAATTATTCGCACGTCTATCCAAACTGATTTGCACACGTCGATACATCGTTGCGAGTTACAAAAATATTGAGCATCTTCATAAAAGTAACATACAACGTATGCGGAGACATGCATATATATATGTTTACAAATACAAATAAAAATATATAAAGTCAAAAAAAAATTTGACACTAATAAATTGATACTGACTGAATAAAAGTGTTTCTACATTATAATTGTAGTATTTTTTTATTAAAATTGTACTAAAATATTTTTAATTTCTAAAATAAATATTTACTTCTCTCAACAGTTATAAAAACAATTATTATTATTAAACAATTATTGTATAGATATATTAAAAGCTTACCTATCCGGAGGTCCCGTGTCTCTCAAGATGGTTGGATTTAATCTCGAGGTGGCAGAAGGCGGTGGCGTAGGTGGCGATGCCTCCTCGTCGTCCTCTTCATCCGTTCCATCGGCATCTTCGTCCTCCTTTGCAACGGGCGCACAGCCCCTTTCGCTGGGACTAATAGGGCCATCTTCGTCGACGCAATCGCCCTCCTCGCCTTGGAGGTCCGTACCGGGCGCAGAGCCTTCGACGCCGTCCTCCCCTGAAACAAATCGTGGAACGAACAAATTAGTCGTCGTTAGTTACGCATTATGCACGTTTAGTAGTTTCAATAAAAAAACTACTCTATCAAAACATATATTAAAAAAATAATGACATGCTATACATTTATATATTATATACTTTGTAGCAGAGTACCAATATGCATTTATGTATGTATATATATATATATATATATAGCCATTTATATGAAAAAATTAAAATATGACGGAGTAAACAAACTATATTTCGAGATATACTTCCTTTACGTATTATCACAAGATTTAAAAAAAATATATAAAACGCGACAGATATCAATTGACGATACCATGCATAGTCTTCTCTTTCTAAATTGTTGATGTAGAATGCGAATCAAATCCTTCTGTCACCCGCCATATCTTGATAGAATAGCAGAGAAGAACGTACGACCTAAGAGTGGAGATACTGAGAAATGACGAAGCTAAGTACCTAGGAGTGATATAAAGGTTTAGATGGCGAGTAACACAATGGCACTATCGGTTCATTTATCAGCCTTTCGCGACGGCAGCGTCGTTGGCAACGACGATGGCGACGACGACGACGACGACGACGACGACGACGACGACGAATACGACGACCAAGCGGAAGAGGAAGAAAGAGAAAATACGAGCTACGTCGGATACGTCGTCGTCGTCGTCGTCGACGACGAGGTATTGTGTGGTGGGACAAGGAGTTCCATCATCTGCATTATGAGTTTTAATCAAATCGTTTCCATTTGAACTCTTGGTAATGAATGGCGGTGTCAGCGTTGCGTCATCAGAGAAAACAACTCGATCTAAGATCAAGAGTCAACAGATGTAAGTTAACAGAAATATTTCAAGATAAGTTATGTTGTGTAAATGTTGTGTAATTTTTTGTTCAAAAATTTCTTACATCTCATAATGTGTACTCGATGTGTCAGACGCATTTTATATCGACGGATCGAATATACACACATTAAAAGACTTTTCCAAATGATTATCGTATAGTTTTCTAACAAGCGAGAAAAATATAAGACAAGAATTGATTTGACAAACCCGGATGTGAATAACAACGCGGAACTCTCTCGGTCGCCATCTTGCTCCTGGCACATCCTCTTTGTAGAAGGGAGTGCCGCATGCTCGATCGCGAACAATCACCAAGGTAAACGCGAGCAGGGCGCGAGAGAGGCAAAAGATGGTCAGCATACCTCCCTTCATAGAGGGTGGGGACAACCAGGAGCACCGTCCTACTTTGCCGAGTGACCAACCAAACGATCGTTTGTTCGCAGACAGACTACGGAAGAGGGAGAGAAAGGAGATCGCACATTGATCCGCGGGAGCATCAGCAACTAATTACGCAGATTTATGTCCCCATTGTCCATTGTCTCTCGGAACGATTCTCCGAGACCCTGGCGCGGACCATTCGATGGAAGCGACTGGCTGGCCGATCCGGTCGGGACCAGCCGTAGGACGGTTACGGTGCACAGAGAGGAGAGAACGACGGGGCGACGACGAGAGGAGATAAAAGGAGGACCCTTGAGGATCGCTCCGATCCAGTCGCGTATCGAAGAGGAGAATGCAAGAAAGTCGAGGAACCGAGCGGGCGGACCACCGGCAAGCAGCCCCGCCTGCTACAAATATAGTCCATCTTTTAGCAAAAGTTTCGCAAAGTTTAGCACACATTTACGTATCGTTCATTTTCTATCTTTGCGCCGCTTCTCTGTATATTCGCGAAAAAATGGATCCGAAGTAGCGTTGCGAAATTTCAATCGTATTGTGCCACCTTCGTCTCCAGTCAGAGATTTCAACGAGCGCTGCTTAGTTTCCGGAAGCAGTGCGGTGTCCTGAGAGAGAGAGAGAGAGAGAGAGAGAGAGAGAGATGCAATCTTTATGAATATATCATAGAAATCACTGATTACAAGCATTCGTTCGAAAGACCAAATTTTTTCCTGTACAATCAATTTATATAATTTACATTTCGTAAGAGCGATATCGAGGCAGTTTGTATTCAAATAAAAAAATTATTATTATCAAGTATCGTTAATAATGATTAAATTTTGTTAATAGTATATGATGCTACCGTAATGACAAAGGTCATCGGGAGTTCCGCGGTTCCAAAGTATTATACCGGTGATCAAGATCGATCGTAGGATAGGGACGTCGAGCCTCGGTAGAATGTAAATGCTCGCACGAGCTGAGTTCGTGCGGACCTATTGGCAGGCCGCTAACAAGGACCGCACCGGATTGCATATCCTGGACCGGTAGCCGCCGCGCCGCGCCGGTAAGATACGCCGGGAACGAGGAGCGTAGCGTACTGAACTTAAAAGCGGTCCGAGTCTTGACACTCGGCGAGATGCTACCGGCCGATATCTGCTCCCGCTGTCCTTGACTCACGTTAGAAAGAAGCGCGGTGTATTAGTGGTTGCACGCGCGGAATGAATCGCGCTATCTTTGCGATGGTTCTGCGCCAATACCCGCCTACACAACTTGCTCCACAACAATAATTAGTCTTATCGGCAAAGCATCCGCTTTCTCTAGCCTCCGTTACGATCTCTGTCCAATATTTTTTCCGTCCTCTCCTCCTCTCCCTTTTGCAAATGTGCATTTTTTCTCTCTCCCTCTTTCGCCTTTGTTGCATCCTCTCTTCTTAGTTCACGACAACCTGCACACGAGCTTTGGATATAGATAGCAAACACCTGCATACATTGGCGCGCACATGTTGTTAATGTACCAATAGCTAACCGATGGTATTAGTATTATTCTGTGAGCTGTAGTCGTAAGATTGGACAACCAAACTAGTCACGCTCGCAATTCTATGTATGGACGATCAGCTGCTAATTGCTATACTAATCTCGATCCTTTATACGATTTCCATTTCAGTTTACGGAAATAAAATCATAATTGCCAAAAAATTATGATTTTATTTTTCATTATTTTAAAATGTTCTCGTTTTAAGAAACAATCACTTTAATCTATTTGACTGCAAATGTAATATGTTAAGCATGCAGCGTGATAATTAATAGAAATGATTTTTAATCCCATTTTTTATCATTAGATGTACTTTAATTTAATGTATTGATTTCTTACGTAATTTTAAAATATGATCTAATGCGTAATGTGCTTTTTAAAACTAATTATTTTTCGCCTATTTTTGAACGTATTCTTTTAAGATTATTCTTTCAGAAAAACGATTTGTCACTCTTAGACGTGCAAAGGCGGAACGAGTCGCCAAGATGAAACGCGGTAAGCCTTACAAATGGCAGAACGAAAAATAAGGTGTTAAGACAAGAATCCTTTAGTGGATGTTCATAAATTGCGGTGAGTAAGGCGTAAATTTTAGCGTGCATAAGCATCCGCGCTAGTGTCAGCTTGTGTACTTTGGTGATTTACACGCAATCAACGCGTTAAATCAGTTAGGTTTGCTTGTAATTAGCATCTACGCCGAACGTTCACCTACTAAGAAAATTTATAAGGCAAAAGAGGTGTCTGCTTAATTGTTTGTAGGATACGTGATACGCGGAGCGGCAATTTTGAAAGCGATAAGAGATAGCTCCGAGTATTCTTTATCTAAATATATTGTAGTTGATACAGAGTCGCAGCCCTGCGCACATATAATTAAACTGAATTAAAAACACTGTTATCGAGAATTGAGAATAGCTAATGTAACGTATCGTTTCATAGAAGAGAATCGATCCCTCGGAGACAGAAACGTGACATATCAAAAGGAAGCTTCTTTCTCGAGAATACCAGAATGATTTTACATCCACCGATGCAATATGTTAAACGTTTAGTGAGAATTATTATATGTACGTACAAACATCCGTTGCCTTTACTCTGTTCCTCATTGTTGGACAGGCCTCGGTATGGATACCGGTAATTACATAACCACCGTGTTAGAATGTAGAGCTGCGTACATAAGAAAAGATCTCTTCGCGGGGCACGAAGTTAATTTCTCGTCTCTTTCAGGTCGGGACAGCCGAGCGAAGAGTTGTCGGGACGCCTCTCTTCCGAGACGGATCTTTGATAAGTAGTACTAACTCGCGCTCGATTATCTCTTTCTCTCTCTCTTAGCGAATATCCCGGGGATCGCTCGATGGCAATGACGCCACGCGGCTCGTCGGGGCAAGTAAGCTAACCGGGTCGAACTTTAGCAACGTCCTGGCAATAAAACAGTACATAATAACAAGCCGGCGGCAGGGAGGGAACAAAAGGAGAACCTGGAGGAGGACAGGAGAGGAGATGAATTTCTGATGCGGGAGAGAACCGTCGGAAGGCTGGCGGGGAGAGTGACAGGAGGCAGACGAAGAGACGAACGGATGGACAGGCAGACAGACGGACGAACGGACGGGCGGACAGAAGGACGAAGAGGGACGGCGAGAAGAGGGAAGCCTCGCATTGTGATTCTCTCGCGGTCTGCCAGAGAGTGACTGACGGGTGAATCCGTTTTCTCCTTCCTCCGCACCTCCTCTTCTACTCTCTCTCCCTCCGCGCGTGCCTCCTGTCCTTCTTTCCGTGTCTCTTTTGCTTCCCTCTAGCCTCCCTTCCCCGTTCAATTCCTCCTGCTCGAGCTGGAGCAACCGGCTTTCAAAGCCTCATACTCAATCCGTATTCGAGAGATACAAGACGTTGATTTACGACTTCCTCAAGTGATGATCCAGATTTTTCAGATCGGAAGGGTCGCGCTCTTCGAACCCAGAAAAATATCATTCTTGTTTCGAGAGTTTGAACAAAGACGCGATTATAATCCCAGACATATGAAATATTGATGCACTTGGAGTATCGGTGAAAATACATCAAACTGATAACAATTATGCGGATTAATTAAGAGACACTTGATCGATTGTGCAAATTTTTCAGTTTAATTATGCATAAAACAACAACATTTTTCCTACGTTTGAGTTTTAATATTTTCAATCGGCGTTAACAAATACACGCGCGTATACCTGAATACACAAAAAGTGACAAGGAAGAAATAAAAGAGAAACTAAAATTTAAATTAAAAATC